GTGCGAGCACAAGAACAGCCAGGTCCAGTGCTTTGACCTAGCGCTGTTTGATCGGGGAGTATCTGCCTATGGCGAGAGTAGACATAACAAAGCAGATTCCTGCCTGTGTCATGTTCTCAAATGATGTCAATTAGATAAAATATTAGGGTGTTATGTGGTGCGCTGTGTTAGATTATTGGGTTAAATCACAATGTCAAATGTACGATATTGTATCATGGGATTCTACGAAAACATCTATGGATATCATATGCGTGCGCAGCCTACAACAAGGGAAGAAAACAATTTCTGAACCCTCTTTTCCATTGAACTTTTTATTTACATATGACATATTTTATTACTAAACCTATAAACCATACAAGAAGAATTAAATTATAACTTTAATTTTACAATTAGTAAATACGATTGATGTTGTGTTTAAACGCTAGCAGTGTTGCCAGATGACATGCAAAGTCCTTTCTCCAAATGTCGTCTTGCAATCGCGGGTTTTCCCTCCACCAGGTATTTCCCACGAACACTAGCCGACCTCTCGTCGCGCTGAATGGCGAAATCCGGCGCCGACCTACCCGTCGACGTGCGGGTTTCCCTGCACCAGGTATCTCTCACCAGCACTGGCTGCCATGCGCAGGGGAGCCAGAGGCCGTGAGCTGCCGGACCGCACCGCGCCCACCTCGCGTCCCGAGCGTTTGCAGGGGGGCGGCAGGCGTTTGCAGGCGGGCGGGCGGCAGGCGGTGCGTTGGGCCGAGCGCGTTAATGTATGCGCGCGTGCGACGCGCCGCCCGCGGGATGTGCGGCGGCGCGGGTCAAAAGGACGTCCGCCGCCGCCGCCGCCGCCGCCGTCGCCGTCGCTGCCGTGTTTCCGCTGCGGCCGCTGTCCCTCGTGCTGCGTTGGCCCGCAGATTCTTCGTGGTGGCGAACGCGTGCGCTGAAATGGCGTCAGCAGAGCAGTGGTGATTAAACTTAAAGGATGATCTCTTGAGACAAGTTGAACACAACTACACAGTAGGCCTCAAGGTTTTGATAAGTCATCTATCCAATGTTCTACTTGCAATTGAAATAGATACGTACTTGGAGTGTTTCACTGGCAGGATATGATTTATCTCCAACCCGAAGGATTTAAAAGAACAGGATGAGTAAATTAAAGAAATATCAGTTTTTTTTCCTTTTCTTATTTTCAAATAATATGCCACCGCTGTGGTGAGGTATTGAATCTCCGTGTATTATTATGATAACCTCTCTAAGACTAATGTAAATGTCGGTCAACGAAACGTTTCTTCCGTAGCTACACCCTCTGACGCTCTTACATTGTTTTGAAAGTGAAGTTATCAGTCGTATTAACACTTAACCACCATAATGATATCTCTGTGACCGCAGCAAATTCGAATCGTTCTTTGCAAGCTGAAATCTAAAGGATTTAGATATCCTGAAGTGTAAAGGATTTTTCTGGAATACCGCTGAACCTTTTGTGCAAGCCAATTTTGATTTTAGGATAGGGCAATATTTTAACCTGTTTCAAAACTCGAACAGGGAGCAGTTACGCTTCTAAAATAATCATTTGCCTACAACAGCATTTATATGCCGTTTAATGTTTGAAAACAATGAATTTGATGTGTGTAAGGAGATATAATATCCTTTTAATGAAGCAAAGTGAAGCTCTGTCTAACTATATTCAAAGTACAGTCTTCATTTGTATCCACCACTTCATTCCCCTTTTCCATCACATCAACTTTCTAAGCCCTACCATCACTGTCGTTGACTAGAGCCTTCTCCATGTGCAGTTCTCCAGCCTCCAGCGCTTTCAACATTCCTGCCGTTCTTGTCATATCCGCCTGCCTCGCCACTCTACCATCTCCGATTACGTCCTCCGCCCACACCATCTCTACCTTTGCTTCAGCGCCTCCATTACTTCGAACATTCCAACTTCTACCCTCCCAATGGACACCTTCACCATCAGCACTCCAGCCCCTCAATTTCGTTAGCCGCCCACGTCATCTCCACCTTCACTGCCGTTCCAACACTTTTAACTCCCAAGCCACTTCTGTCATCCCACCCCTTCCTATCACCCACGTTGCTCTCATCCCCCCTTCTCCCCCGCCCAGGCCGGGGTCGCCGTCCCGTCCCGTCGGCGCCTCTGCCCGCTGCGTCTCCAGACGCCCTTTTTTGTTTGCCCTCTCCCGGCGCCCTTCCGCCTGTCTTGCCTTCGCGCGCTGGGACGCTTCGCCCCCCGCCCGCGGCAGGTGATTCTTTGAAGATTACCGCGGCTGCTCGCGTCCCACAGCGCCGCATCGGCGACCTGCGCCCGCCCCGCCCCCCCCGCACTCTCCCCACCGCCCCGCCCCCGCCCCGCCCCGTTCACGCCCGTCCCCTTCCCCCACGTCCCGTCCGCCGCCAGGCCAAGCCCCGCCACCGCCCAGCTCCTCCCCGCCCGCCTCTTCCCCACCTCCACCCTCCTACTCCTCCCGCTCCACAACTTCCTGTTGCCTCGTTCCTCCCCTCAACTCGCCCTAAGTCTCCACGCTCCGCCCCGACCCTAGCCCTTCCCATCTGGCCTCTTTCACCCCCCTACGCCCCACGCACCCATTCACTACCAGGTCCCGCCCCGCTCCTCACCACCCCGCCCACACCATTACCCACCCCTCACCGCCCAACAACGCCCCGCCTCGCCTCGCTCTACGCCACACCGCGCCGCGCCGGTCAGTGGCGCGTGGAATGCGAGTGCGGAGGCCGAGCTGTGGCCACACTGCTCGACGCCCCCGGTGCCCACACAGCTGTCTTATTTTCTTTTTTTCTCTCTTCAGACTTTTTCCCATCACAAGCCAGAAACCCTCTACACTCCTATACGGAGGGCTCTCGCACCATTCAGTGCAGCAGCAATGCCCAGATGCAAGTATTGAGGCCGGACTGCTGTCGGTGACCCCCATCACAGGCCTACGCGCTATTTGCTTAGGCTGTTGTTCAGCACATTCCATTAGGACATTTGACTCCATACGAAAATATTCCCATGAGATTGGAACCCTTATTCTTAGTAAAGAGTGGGTACTGGCGGGATGCTTACAGTTTCAGATCAGCAGCTTCCTTCCAGTGCTAATACCCACCCCCTTGCCGCCATAAGTCGTGTGTTTGTTATGAAGATATCAGAAAATTAAGGTTGTAACTACATTCCTCTTTTTGTCACCTGTGCGTTACTTTGGAAGTTGATATCATTTTTAAACCTAAAATAATATTAGGTTAATGTAAAAGTATTAATACATTGATATTTAAAGTATGTATATATAAATATATAAAGTATGTATATACAAATAACCAAATACAAAGTAATGTAAATTTAATTAATTTACTTGAGTACTTAACCATTCTAAATTCATTTTTCATGTATCAAATTTCTGAATTCGTGACTTTTTTCACTATTTTGATTTAAATATGTTATTTTTTTTGATTCCCTTTAATGGAAATTGGTTGGGAAATATGCAATTAAAGTGGAAACGAATAGACATTGTTACTGAAAATGAGTTTCAACTCAATAGTTATTCACGAGGCCAAGCGCTATATGAAGACACGCATTCTAGTGAACGAAAGAATGTTTGCGCGTTTCCCGCCGTGTGTTGGGCAAGAGGCGACACGATTTAGGCTCACTCGTCCGCTCGGCAGGTCGCCGCCGCCGCCGCATTTCAGTCTCTCGACGGGCAGAGAAAGAAGTTGCTGTGTGGAAACTCCCCCTCCTTCCGGAAAACGGCGACTTTCTCCGAATTTTTCCCCGCGGAACTTGCGTCCCTGCCAGCTGCGACCCCCAAGATCAACGACCTTCGCGCGTGCGGGCCGAGGGACAGGCGCTGCGCGGCGCGTTGGGTGGTCCCGGACGTTTCGAGGTGATGTGGTGGAAACCACGACGTGACAGGCGTGTGAACGTGGGTGACGTACTGGTTAAAGAAACGGAAACAAACATTTTGTGGGAACGTGATACAGGATATATGATATTAGTTCTTAAAAAATGGTTTGATCGATTGATTGATTTCTTTAGTGATTCCGGGCACGTCAGCTACCACGGTCTTTACTCCCGCAAGTGAAGTGTATGATTATTGCTCGAAAAGTAGCTGTGATCTTTCCCTTGCTGTGTGGTGAGATCTGGCGCCGACCTACCTTTCGGCCGGGAGTTTTCCTCAACCAGGTATCTCCCGCCAATGGGACACCGCCCCTGCTGAGACAAGCTCTAAGCTCCCAACCGGTCTTCCAGCACGTGCGGTAGTGTAGCGCATGTTAGTGTGTGTGTTTGTGTGTGTGTAACCGGTGATAACAGGACAAGGAATAGTAAGGAAATATTTCGCGCGGTCCATGTCCCGTTTTTTAGGGTACTGCTCCAGCATTCACCCGGTATTTTTCGAAGATATAAAAAATTAGCGATGTCAGCTTATTCTAAAGCCAATATTGAATGTGTTGTAGAAAAAGATGAATTCCGGGATAAAACTAGAGGATGTGTTCCAAAATCACAGCTCAGATTCGAAGATGATATATTTCTTGAATGGCAACACGTGGTAGTAGGTATAGTTTACAAGATGAAGTAAATTAAGATCAGAGGGAGGTGAAGTACAGGATAAATTAGTGCCGGGTGCTAATGACGTTGAGAGATGAAGTGGTAGGTGCGAAGTTACTTTTTCTTAGGTAGCGGACGTGTAGCTCGCTGCCACATTTCACGATCGAGCGAACACCGCCTCCTCTCGATACGTAACGCACAGTACACCGAAGTCTGCGCCCGGAAATCTGGCGTGCGCAGTGAGAACGGTTACTTTATTTTGAACATTAGTTTCATCGCCTACTTTTCTAACACTCATTACGTTCCTGCAGTTCTTGCCGTGATACATTGACAGATGTAAATGTGGAGATTTTTTTTTCTTAAATTTTAACATCATTCGTCATGATGCGTTGATGAGAGCGTAGAATGCCAAAGGGGTTTTGTGATGGTTCTGGATATTAAATACCGAATTTTAATATGTGTTACTTTATTTCAGGTGAGTGACGTTTGTATCCAGTGATTCCTCCTGTAAATTGGTGAGTTCACGTTTGAAGTAAAATTGGAACTTTCCTTTTAATGTCAAACCCCCATATAGAAAGAAAATTAAAATACCTATAACGGTGTGGATCATACCACCAGTATTTACTAATTACTTCTGAATTACTCGTCTCAGCTATTTAGTTCGTCATCATTATTTCGTTATCTGGAAATCGTATATAAACTTCCGCGTTGAATTGATGCAACTTTACGACCCGTCAGGAACCATGAGTTTGTATATTCAAGGCTGCTGGTGTTAACACTCAACCATGCGCAGCGGCAACCCGCACCGAAATTTCTCTAAAAGTACTATCTTGCATACCTGTTCTGCTACGTTTACCACATGCACGTAACGCACCCTAATTTTGTCTCCTCCGCTCTCTAAACGCATGAACAGGAGACCACATTCTTAACTAACCACCAATCACAATCTCGCGAATTCACCTCTGTCTCCTCTCCGTCGCATTCGTAGTCATCGGTCGTGTGAAGTGCTCCCGTTCTCCAAACACCGCCCCCCCCCTGCCCCACGTGCTCATTCGCGAGCGCGGGCGCGCTCTGCACGCCGCTGTTATTTCGTAATACCCGAGATCCGCATCGCACGCCCACGAGTGCGAGGCTGCAAATTGCTTTCTGGTTCAGCGCGCGCTCGCGTTACCACTCGCGTCTCTCGCCTCCACCCCCACCCCCCTCTCCGCTCGACTCACTTCCGCCCTTCCTGTCCTCCGAGCGCTCTCTCTCTCTCTCTCTCTCCCTCACTCTCTCCGCACTCCCCGGTCACGCCTTTCTCACTCTTCCCGTCTGTTCTACTCTCCCTGGCTCTCATGTTCTCCTCGTCACACTCGTTCCCGATGTCTTCGCCTCACTCGCCGTCCCCAATCCCGCCGTCTCTACCCAATCCTTCTGCCCTTTCTGCCCTCACGGCTCTCTCAGCCGCCCCTATTTGCTCTTCTTACCTTTCGTATTCTCCCTGGCTCTCAGGTTCCCACCTCCATACTCGTTCTCCCCGCTCTCCTAGCGACACTCACCGTCCCTGTCTCACCTACTCTCTCCGTCCTTCCCGCCATTTCTTCCCTCACCGCTGACTCAGCCCTCTCCTTACACGCTCTTTCTGGCCCTCATGCTATTTCATTCCCCATACTCTCTCCCTGCCCTACTAACAGTGCCCGTTTCATCCACTCTCTCCGGCTTTCTCACTCTACCCGCCCCCTGCACTTCTGTGAAAGCATAATTCTTCATGCGTTTACGCACCGCCCTGTCCGCGACAGACTTTCCTATGTTCTCTGCGTTTAGATGTGCGCCTTTCCGTGAACTCGATTACGTCTTGGCTCCTTCATCTAAATACGTCATGACTAGATTATGCCCCCGTCATGACCTCCCACCGAATCATAGTTCGTCTTCCTCACAGTCAACGTCGTGGCATTTTTTTTTTTATTTTTTCCGACATACCTACGACAATTTGATATCTTCCTCGCTTTCTTTAGAACATCCTTACTTGCCAACCCTCTACCAACTCTTACCCATTGCTGCGAATTCGTGTCCAGCCGCTTTATCAGGGTTCCCCAAAACAAATATTACAAACGTCTATGGCATGCAGAGTTATCGAAAATGTTTACTTTTTGCCAATGACCAAGTGCTGGAAAGTTTCATATAACTCATTTACATATGTGACATTCATCCCTGATTGTTGGTCAATTCCGCTTACACTTGTGTTCGGTAGGTACATGAAGTCTCATCGACAGCGTTAGAACGTGAACTGCCAAAATCTGTGCGTATGATACTTCGTCAAAGTCAGAGGTAAACGTCATGGGCGTATCTCTATTATATGAAATGTCATATACATTTTCGTACACGAAATTACGTGTTCGCTAGTGGTACTTTTCGACCCTTCTGCATGCCGTAGAAGGTTGTAACATTTATTCTGCGACATTCTGTACGTCTTTCTGAGCCTTTCCTCTCCGCGCGCGCTTGGACGACTTGTTCACGAACACAATAACGACGTTTGCAGATTTTGTGTAGCGCAAGTTACACTCGCGAGGTGGACGAAAGCGCACTGACCCACTTCGCTGCCTTGCTCCGTCTCTATCTGCAAGCTCCACTTTTTCCGTGGGACTCGTGGTGATTCAGGACGCTCTCCCTTATCCGTGGATCGCTCGCGAGGGGCGGAGAGATGAAATAAAATCGCAATTCGGCCTAATTCGTAGGTGCTTCCTTGTTTCGTGTCCCGTGGTCTGTACGTATTATTTGCCTCCCAGAGTGCACGGATCATTAATATATTTAAGGAATTGTGTTGATGCATCCATTTGCCGCTTGTTTCGTTTCGATGTTTGTGAGCAAATATTTCTGACGACATTTTCTTACCTTATCGGTTGTAAACGAAATGTTTGCCCTATTTGTTTAATGGTTCATTAATTACATTGCCAATATTTTATTTTATATCGTTAAAAATGTATAGAAGGATCACTAAGTCTGAATGCAATAAGCTGCTCATAAGCAGATAAATTTATTTCATAAAAATAACAATAAATGAGTGTAAAAATACGATGATAGAACAAAACCTTACATGTTTTATCTGTCAATAGAAAACTTAAACATATTCACTAATAAAAATTGTTTAAATCCTAAAATAGTAGTATATTCAATTAGTTTTTAATGTTAAGCGTTTTGGATGAAAATATGTTTTAAAAACGAGCGACGTTAGAAGAGAGTTTTGAAAAATTATACGAATGCTAGAAATCAATATTATAAACGAATTGCATACGCTATTTTGTGTAAAATCATTATAAACTTTTAAGTGAATCGAACTTCATTTTCCGAAACAACTTTTTTTAGACGTCTCGGATATTTGACGTTGTGGGTGATAACGGCGGCCAGCTGCTTCGTTTTCCGCTACATCGCCAAGAAGCTGTCGTTACGATTGGCTGAATGTGTGATGACAAAATTATCTTGGCCGTAAATTCAAATACGTCATCATTTGTATTGTATGTGGCCCTTTTGTGAACGATTTCTTGCAACAGGTAATGTCGTTTATAATGCTGGTGTACAAAAAACTGTATACTTTTTTTGAAATCTTTTATTGGTATGGTGAAACTTTTTATTATTTTTCTTATTAAATGCTCGTTATCATCCATCATCATTTGCCTCTAGGAGGAAGAATTTCTGGGCTGGAATGTTGAACCACCCATTTAGTAACTGACGAAAGCGAAAGTCTGCTAACATTGAATCAGCTCACAACCCAACTTGAACGATACTCCTAATGCCTGTCTACTTTCTGGAAGCCCAACGTGTCAATTTGTTTCTGGCTCGTTATTTCCGGCGGCGCCGCGTGGAGCGCTTGCGCTGCTCTTCCTGGCGGATGACGTCGCCTGCTGCGGCGCTGGTGCCGGAACTACAGACGCGACGACAAAACTAGTGTTTGTTTTCCGGGACTTGCAAGTTTAATGAGTTCCTTTACTTCGCAACGGGCTCCGCACTTAGCAGCTGCTTCGGTGCGGAAAGCACCCACTGACGGGGAATGGCTCATGGATGAAGGCAGGAGGAGACCGGAGAAAATGATGGAGAAAAGATGCGAATCACAGCCACTTTGTTTTTTGGAAAACACAATGGGAATGTTTCTGAGCAATTTCCTTCGTTGCAGTAAATTGTACCATATGAGTGAATGGAATTAAATATTAAATACATATCAATGATTTGGGGTGACTGTCATGTATTCGGTGTTATTAAGCTGTTTTTTTCGGATACCCTCGAGTTCCGACATTGAATTTGGGTTGAATGATGGTTCAAATTAAAAGTTTGTTTATGCACTATTTTTTGGCGAAGCTAATGTGTGGGATATGCAGAGATATACAATTGGGGTGTTTCATGCAATATAGTTTTTACAAAACCCGGCTCTTGATTTTAATATTAGTGTTGATTTTAATATTAGTGTGGAATATTGATCTCTCAGATTATGCTGAGCAAGTTGTTATTTCGTTATCAACTTGCTGACTACATTAACTTCAATGTTAACGCTCATACGGATAGAAAAAGGGTTTCTTTGTTATACTTTGTGCGAAAGTCTTGAAATATTATTATTTATGTCCGATAGTGTTGATCCTCTCTGTTTCAGAGATAATAGGAAATACAAAATATGTAAATAAGTCGTTTGTGGATGAGAGGTAATATTCACTGCATGTAATATTCGAAAGATTTATTATTCAATACATGAACACGCACACACACATACACACACACACTGTGTGTGTTTTGTATTCAACAAACCGCGATGTATCACATAAGCAAGAGGAAAATCGCTTGACCAAAGTACGTCACAGCTCCACAAAACGTTGAGTGGGAGGTTGTGGTGAGGGCGCTCCATCTCAGGCTGCTCGGACACGCCGAGGCGGAGAAGGGAAGATAATGCCCTCGCAAACGGGAGCGGTGGCGGAGCGGGGGGGGGGAGATCTGTCATTTCGCTTGCGTGCGGTCGCCCCATATTGCTCCGCTCCTCTCGCTTCCCTTCCCGCTCCCCTCCACACCTCCGCCACGCCCCCGCGTGGGTTGCCGATTCGCCCCGCCACACGGCGTTCCGCTCCCGTGTCTCGCCGCCACGCCACGCCGCGCCGCGCCGAGCCGCGCCGCGCCGCGCCGCCTTGCGCCGGCGCAGTAAAATTAGGACCATTGTTCGGAAAGTTTTGCTGAGGAAATGGAGAAGCACGTGGAGTCCAGAAAAAAAAAGTTGTGGGACGGCTCTCCGCGCTTCCTTTGCGGAGTGAAGCGCCGGGCACCAGGATCTCTTTTCGGGCAAGCATCTCTTTTTAACTGAGAGAGAGCGAGCGAGAAAGAGAGGGAGAGCAAGCGAGAGAGAGAGAGAGCAAGAGAGCAAGAGAGAGAGCAAGAGAGAGAGCAAGAGAGAGAGCAAGAGAGAGAGCAAGAGAGAGAGCAAGAGAGAGAGAGAGAAAGGGAAAGATGGATGGAGAGGGAGACGTAAGGCGGGTGGGGACGGTATCGCGGATTGAAAGAAG